TTACTTTACCAAGGGGTTCCAATTTTACTCAACCAAGGGGTTCCAATTTTACTTAACCAAGGGGTTCCAATTTTACTCAACCAAGGGGTTCCAATTTTACTCAACCAAGGGGTTCCAAATGTTCGTCCAACAAAATGTCCAGATCGCAAAATTAGTAGAGCTGACTGGAACCAATTGTTTTAATTTTCCGAAAAAATATTTGACACAATTTTATCAGCTTCTGAAATGAAAATGCGCGAATTTTTTTCAAATTTTTCCCAAGTAGCTTTACGTTCCTCTGTGGGGGGAATCATAGATCGGAAGTGTTCGTCAAAAGGCGGTAAAAAAACAAACTATATTTTCAGGATCCATTTCAACTGGAAAATCTGGCACCTCTTTTAGGAGTTAGCTTAGAGGAGGTACATGAATTTAATAATATAATTGACATTCTAGATTCTATACGTAACTCAAGCAACAGTGTAGTAAATGCCTTATTCCTTAAGGGGATCGCTTTTAATCAAAGCCAAACCAATGGGCACGATCTCTTACGCTATCAATATCAATTGAAAGCTCGTAACTATTACTGCCAAACCAATCCTCAACCTGTTTATCAAAACAAGGAATGATTACTCTCTTGTAGTAAACAGTACGAAGTCTCTATATCAACTAGGTAAATATCTAGATGTTAAGTTAGAGTTAGGTCTTAACAACATAATTACAAGTTATGTGCTGTTAGATACATAATGTAGTTAAGCAATCACAATATGTGTTTGACGAAGTTAAATATCTTCATATCTAGATTGGGTTAATTGCAATATATGATTTACGTATTTACTAATGAGCACATTTAGCTTATAAGGACAATGTACAACGTAACTTCTCCTGTTCAGAGTTCTCCTGTTCAGGGTTCTTCTGTTCAGAGTTATCCTGTTCAGAGTTCTCCTGTTCAAATATATAATTATATTTTTAAACTAAAACTAGATTATTTATGCAGCGCTTTCTCTAAAAATGTGAATTTGGATTTATATGTTCCAGAGATAAAGGGAGGAAAATATCAGAATTGAAGACTTTTAATATTAGAAAAGTTACAATTTATTCTATTATTTTACTAAAAAAATGGTTTAGATGGTCGTATATACAATGCATACTATACATGCCACATTCTCAAATTAATTAATTTTTGGAGAGAAAAAACTTAAACCTTCATATTTTTTATCCATACATATCATTTTTTTTATAAATTTTTATAAATTAATTTGTTTATTAATTTTCCGACTTTGGAAAAAATGGGCCTTTCATTATTAAAGAAGAAAACGGACAACGAAAAAATGCAATGTCATAACTCATAATATGCAACGGAAAAGATCGATTTAAATATTGATTATACAAATTATAATTGATAGCAAACATATGTTAAGTATAGAAAGAGTATAGCCTGAAAAGCCTGAAAAAGCAAATATGTGGTAGAAGTTTCTCCATCTACCATCTGCTTTATATGCTTTCTAATTAACCCATGGCACACAACTAATCTAAAATTAATTTTGAAAAAGTACTTACATTTTTTAGTATTATTATTATCTTTAGTATTATCCTATGCAGGGGCGTATTCAGGAATTTGTCCAGGGGGCTCAAATTTTTTTTCTTTCCAGGGGGGGCTTAGCACCCTTTGAAGCTTGTAACTCCCCCTGAAATCAATAGATTTCACTGGTCCGAGGGGGGATGGGGGCTTGAAAATAAACTGATTTAAGATAATTTGTAATAAAGCAGGCTTTTAGAGCGCTTAGCGCTTATCTTCTATTTCAGTTTTGAACATGTTCTCTTTGTATACATTGTAAAACAAAAATATCGTGGCTTTTTAAAATGTTAAAAATCGAATTTTGTTCGAGGCAAATTTTTGAAAATTCGATCATTCACAAACCTGTCCTGGGGGTCACAAAGGTCCAACAAAAAATTTGGGCCTGTTAAGTTTAGCCGTTTTGACGTTTATTGGATACAAGCAGACAAACAAACAGACAGACAGATAAGCAAAATATATATATATAGAAGTGAAAATCAGTGAAAGGATAACATAAATTCGCAAGTCAGTAGATATAATGATTTTGGAACCAACTGAAAGAGAACGTACTTATTTCCTCTCATTTTTTGTAAAACACATTGTATTTAATAAACCATTTTGCATTTAGTTTTAGTATTTAGTATAGTTATAGATATCATGTTTGTGTTTGAAAATGATAAGTTTCATTTGTGGGGTTTCAGCAAAAGTGACTTGCGCATTTGTTGCTTCAGAAGCAAAGCTAAAATGATCAAAATTTAACACTTTTAAAGCATGAAAAACGAAGTTATCATCCACAATGTTGAAGATCAGAGTAAGGTCTTATTTGCATTTT